AGAAGAGCAGCAGTTGCCTACAGCTGTGCCCAACCTTCATATCCCAATACAAAGAATTCTGAATTTTTCCTGTCCTTTGTGCTTATTTGAGCCCTACTCCACAACCACAACAAACTCGTGCTGCTCCTCCAAATAGTTCAGGTTGACTTGTCACCAGACCTGATTCTCTCCCAGAGAGATATGTAGCAGCGCAGGTGCCAGCACCTGTTAGGTTCCCTGGTAAGACATTCCAGAGGGCAGAGGTCAACATCTCAAATTGGAATTCCAGTCCTAGAATAATAAAACAATTATACCCAGATTTTTTCATCCCCTGTATTCTTATGGTCATGTGTTAATGTTATAAAGACAGCCTAGATTAAGACTGGAGATGTTCGTGCTTAAGTAAAAGCATCAATGTGTCAGGAATGTGTGCTTGTTCTTGTGTTTGCATCAGTGATGATGAGATGCCTATCTGAAAATGCTAGCTAGTAACTCCAAAGACTTTTGTTTATCCCCTTCCAATCTTCGGTATTCTTGCTCATTATTGTGTTTGTTGCAGTGAAGCAAACATAACTGGGTAACTAATTTGGGGCTAGCACAAATTTCTATCACTTCACAACACAGAGAAGAGTCAGTGACATAAATATATTTTTACTCATTGCAACACATATATTTTCTATAGACACCAGATCTTCAGGTATGTTCCTAGTCTTGGTTTTCATGAGAGGTTCGAGTACTCCCTGGTTATTTGATGCCCTTTAGATATGGAGACTTGGGCCAGTGACATCTGTTCAACTTGTAGCAAGCTGATAACTTTTCAAAAGATAATTAGCATCTTCAAGATACACACATGGAAAAGATGTAAGAATTCAAGCCATGCAGTAAAATCTATCTTTGGCCCTCCTAACAGGAGGTCAGGAATCTGGCATACTTCAGGTTGATGCATTTTAAGATCAGCATTTTAGACTGAAGCTGAAGTAAGAAGTGAATGGCTGTTTTCAGTGCTAGGAGAAAGAAAAAATTCCAGCCCTGGCTGCCTGGTGCAGCTGAGCTGCTCCTGTTGTTAAGGTAACAGAGGGAGATGTCTGCTGCAGTGGGAAAGGGTCAAGGAATTTGTCTGAAAGATTGAAGACGTGCGGCAGGGAGAAAGAAAAGAAATTGTTGCCAGGACAGGTGTGGCAGCAGTCATTGATCTAAGGAGGAAAGAGGAGAAGGCAGTCCTATGTAGATGTACACCATTGTGTAACCTGTTTGAGGCATATTCCCATACAGCTAATGATGTGCCAGTCCTCACTGTGGACGTGTCTGTACTGTAAGGGGTGAGCAAAGTTCCTGTGCATCCTACAAGGTAGACATTAGCAGGCTGAAGTGCTGCTAGCATTAGTGTGACCTCCCAGCAGGCACGGTTCACCCACAGCGATCTCTAAGACCCAGAGTGCTGACTATAATGATCATTACTACCCCTTTAGTAAACAGAAGAAAAAAAATGATGACCTCTGCCTACACCTCTAAGCTAGCTGGCATGCTGTGCCAACTTGACCTCAGTGATGCTTTTTGTCATAAAATAGCTAATACATGGTTTTACATGAGTGTTACAGAAACTGCAGAAGCTGCTTTTTATTAAGCAGCTGTGCTGCATATCTCTGTACGAATCTGGAATGGCCACTTTCCAGTGTGCAGGCCTGTCCCTTCACCTTTCCATCATTAGTGCAGGTCCAGCTTCTACCAACAGTCATGAGGTAGCTTACTAGTTGGTTCTGTCTCCCCTGCATGTTGGCATGGATATTTCAGCCAAACTGCTGAGATTCAGCAGGCATATGATTAAGCAACCTCAGCCAAATTTGGCAGTCTGCCTGAATGGCTGTGGCTTGAGCAGATCTGTGGCTGGCTCTAGTGGGGGAAGGAAACTCCTGAAATAAGCTTGCTGTCTGACTCCCATCTGGCTGTTAGTGAAGTGCCTTGATGCCTCCCTTGGCCAAGTCCCAGAGGACCAATTTGTTACATCATGCTCAAGTCATGCTTCCATATATGCTGAAGGCCACAGGTATTCTCCTGTGAAGGGCTACAAGTAGGATCTTGAGTCTGCTTGCAAAGAAGATGGTGGGGTTTCTTGAGATCAAAGGGAGCCTCGTGGGGTATCGAAGGGCATAGAGGGTCAGTTTCAAACCTGATGGCACTGCATCTTTGACATAGTGTTGTGAACATGGGCAGCTGGGTGTTGCCCACCTAGCTGTTCTCTTGTTCCTCCTCCTCAGAACTAGTGTGACCAGACACTGCCATTTTTTAAGGTACAGTACAGAAAACAGGTGACAGGAAGGCTTTTCATTGTTATTGTTTAGAGGTGGTGGTTTTTTCATTGCACAGTGGAAACTAGACATTCGAGGAAATTGTAATAGTAAAAATCACACAGACTAAATGTTAGATATATAGTAAGACTTTCTGAATGGAGACACCAGGTCTAGGGGACACTCCTACTTCTTATTAGGTTAACTGGACTGCAGGATTCAGTAACAAGACTAAGAAAAAATATCAACCAAACCCATTTTGTGACAAAGAAAACACAGGTGGAGAGATTTGGAGGCAATCTGAGTGCAATCTCTTGCAAACCACACTGATCTGCTAAGCCACACAGAAAAAATGTAAGTAGGTAAGCCAGAACTAGCAAAAGCAAAGCAAATACATGTGTAAGAATATTGACTCTTTATAGAGCTATTTATTGTGCTTGCTAGAAACAAGGCTAAAATAAAGCAGGCAACTAACTTCCAAGGCACCTTTGCACATAGCACTATTTAAAAACATCACTTCCCAGGAATGAAGCTATCTTAAAATTTCTCTTGCTGTACCTCTTGGCTGAAGGCATTGAACACAATTATTATTCTCCCTGATGAGAAAGGATTAGGTGGGGGAAGACTAAGAAATGAACAGAAAACTCTTGTAAACAAGCTGAGAGCAGTCACTTGTACTGTTACAGTTTGGATAAATGCAGGTAATTTCTGAACCCATTATTTGAGCTAGTGACAGGACTGTTTGTTTTTGCTTATAGTTTAACACTTATTAATTGTTGATTAAGGCTTCACTGAGGACTAATTTTTAATGAAATCTGAGGAACTGCAAAAGGCTTCACAAAATTCTTCCTAATCTGGTCAAACAGGCAAGGAATAATACAAAGTGTAAAAAAGTCTCAACATCCTGCTCTCATCGGAGTATTATGGGAAACATGTAAATAAAGAAAACAAATCAGTGCACAGTTCACGCTTCATCAATTGCCTAACAACTTGCAACCAGTTAATTACACACCTTTAAAATGCATGTACAGGATAAATGATTCAGAAATAAGCCTCAATAATGAAAAAGAACAGTGAAGAACTACTGATTCCACTAAGGGAATTTAACCCCTTAGCTGTGACAATGCTGAAAGATGGTACTGTATGTAATAGCTGGTTTATGCTATTTGCTAAGTATTCAGAAATGTTCAAGTAACTCAACCTTGTGTTACTTTGCATTTTGCAGTCTCAATACCAGCAATGAATTCTTACATCCAATCTGTAAATCATGGGCATTCAGACTCTTGGCTTGCCTGGGCCAAACTGAAAAGGAATGAAGAAGAATGAAGAGGAATTGTCTTGGGCCATGTATAAAATACAACACAGTTCATGCATACTGGTAACAAAACCTTAAAAAAAAAAAAAAAAAAAAAAAAGGCAAGAAGGCAACAAAATCAAAACAAGTGGGTTTGACATGCCTAGTATAAGGTGAAATATCTGAACATCTGTTTAAGAATACCACGCAGAGATCAAATCTCAAAGCAGGGTATTTATGAGTGGTAGAGTGCATGGGAAGATATGGGCCTTCTGGAGTTCACTCCTGAACAACTGCAGAATCCTGAAAAACTGAAAAAAAGTTTGAAAAAGACATACCACCACCTGGGCAATTCCAAAGCCTGCAATTCCTGCAACATGCTGGGGCAAGGCTGCTGAGCAGCACTTAACACTATTGCACCTGCAATAAATCCTGAAGCTGCTCCAACCCTCCTGCTGCCCCATCCAGAGAACTGCATCCAGCTCCAGCGATCCCAGAACACAAAGGATGCAGAGTTGCAGCAGGTCCAGAGAGGGCCTTTGAGAATGAGCAGAGCATCTCTTCTATGAAGACAGGCTGAGGAAGCTGGACTTGTTCCGCCTGGGGAACAAAAGACTATGGAAACTCACTGCAGTATTTAAATGGAACTTATGAACAGGGGGAAAACCGAATTTTTACACAGGCAGATAATGATAAAACAAGGAGGAATTGCTTTAGAATGAAAGACAGGAGATTTAGATTAGATGACAGAACGAAATACTCAGAGTGAGGCCCTGGCACAGCTGGCCAGAGAAGCTATGCTTGCCCCAACCCTGGAGGTCTTCAGTGCCAGACTGGATGGGGCCCCACGAAGCACGAGCTGGTGGGTGGCAACCAGCTGATGGCAGGGGGATTGGAATTGGATGATGTTGTGTGTGCTTATGAACCCTGAAGGGATTTTGTACCTCAAAAATGCCCATTTTCTCCTGAATATATATGAACTGTTCTGAAAACCCTCCTGCTTCAGACCATGATGGCAGTTGCTGATAATAAAAAAGCTCTAAATGCTGGAGCGTAATCACAAGCCCTAACATAACCATTAGCGTTAGACAGAGGAAAACAGCTTTCATTTTGGAACAGATGACTGGAAGCTTGTGAAGTGGTAATACAGGACTGCTACACGAACTGCCAACACAGAGGAAAAAAAGAGGACGGGACTGCAAAACATGTCAGTTAACAGGACGCGAGCCGTCAGCCCATGCTGGCTGCGGGGCAGAACGCCCGACATGCCCGAACGCCCCACAAAAGCCCTGCAGCTCGGCGCCCGTCGCGCAGCACTAGGCGGGACGCCACCGCCATTACAGGGTGCGCGGCTCAGCTGCCTCCCGCCCCGGCGGGACCCGCGCCCTCCGCACGCAGCGCCCGGCGCCGCCGTGAGCCCACGTGACCGAGCCCGGCCGGGCAAGCGCGGCGAGGAGCCCCCAGCGGCTTGGCGGAGGCGCTCCGTTTCCCCCGCCGAGCGGAGCAGCGCCGCGAGAAGGTGAGCGGCGGGCGGGTGGGAGGCGGAGTGCAGCGACGTAAGCGCAGAGTCGGATTGACGGATGAACAGCGAGAAGGGGGGCGCGGGGACAAGAGGCCGACGGAGGAAGGGGCCGCCTCGGGCGGGCGGGCAGGCGCCACAGCCAGCGCAGCTCAGCCCAGCTCAGCCCGCCTTCCGCTGCGCGCCGCCCCTCTGCTCCGCCCCTCGGGCGGCCGTTGGGCGGTGCTGGGCTGTGGCGCCACGGTTGGGCGGCAGCAGGAAGGGAGGGGGAAGGGTGGTGGCCCCGCTAGTTGCGGGAAGTTTCTCCGTTGTCTTTTTCTCCTTAGCAGAAGTGGCAGAGCTAATGCTGCGAACTGTTGCTCACTGTGTACTCAGGTTTTCAGTGCTGATAAGTGGGAGCAGGAAGCTGTGGCTGTGTTGCGAAGTACACGTGTCAGCAGCGTTTGCTTGTGCTGCGGGTAATATGGAGGCTTGGCAATGACTTGCTGTTGGCTCCCCACGTCACTGTGCACCTGATAATAGCAGTTCTCTCTTGATTGAGCGGCTTTCCCGTTATCATATGTCCTGAACGTTTTGAGGGTAGTTACTATCTTGGATTTTACTCTCTACTGTGGCATCACTTAAAACTGTAGGCTTTTCCATGTTTGGTGTTTCAGTTAGTTCTGCTGTGTAGAGGCCACAGTCCTTCCTGTGTTTGGAGACTGAGTTCCTAGGCAGGTCTCCATGCTGTTCTTATCCTTTCTAAAGGAAATTAAGTACTTTGGAAGTCAGTGAAAAGTTTAGACAGAGAAACTGGAACAGAACACCAAGTAGGCTCTAACCTCATAATATTTTCTATTTAACCAATATTTGAATGGGATTTTTTTTTTCTTATATTGCTTTTCCACTGAACCAAAATTAATTGTGTAGGTTGAAATACTGAAAAAATGAAGCTGGTGATCTAGGAAAGCTGCTTCACCTGTGTCCAGATTACTTTCTTATGCCTCAGTTTGCTTTTCTATTTTTTTTTTTTTTTTCCTGGTTCAGCATGGAAAAATATAGCAGTGAATTGCTAACGGAAGATAAATGGAAGAAAATATATCGCAGGGATTTATATTATTTATATATATATATATATATACACACATACAGACATATGTATATATCTTTATATACATGTAATTTATATATATATAAATAAAATGATTTCTCTAAGAGACTTCAAATGATAACAAATCTATTTCCAATATGCAGTTTTGTAATTGAATGCACATGCATTTTGTAAAAATGTAACATAATAATGTTTTAATGACTACGACTGGGTGATTCCTATGAGTTACTCATTTCTTTTACTTTCACAATTACAGATTCTTCTGTGTAACTTTTATTTGGTTACCAAAAGAAAGCTGTTCTCTGAATTGAGGGAAAGAACAATGCACATTGTGTTACAGTGGGTAGTAACATGCTCCTTGAGAGCAGTATTGTGGTGGAGAGTGGTTTTAAGATTCAAATAGGTTTCACAGACACAGCTGACATTTGAATGTTCAGATAAGTTGATTGCTGTGCTGCAGATCCTGACTCTGGAATACCTACCTGGAACTTGTGCTATGCTTTTAGTTTAGTTTTAGTATGAACAATAATGTTCTACATTATTGTTGTTAAATAACAAATCTGTATTTCACATGATCATGAGTGCATGATTTTATGGTCTTTTTGGACCAATTAAATTTATTGCACTTCTAGTTAGTGGCCCAAACTTCTATTTTTCAATTAATTAATACTTTAACATTTTGAGAGTTTTTTTGGTCATCACAGAAAACTTCTGAAGAAGAAACAAAAATTTGGTCCTATGTGTTGGAATTCTCTCTGTTGCAAATACATTTATTTTAACATTTTGGAAGAGAGTCACTGAAATTCTAGTGCCAAGTTCACTTTCAAAATGTATATTTTAGTGTTCATGTTGTATTGTAAAGATTGGACATTCATTCATTCCTACGATGAACCTAAAACCAGGCGGTGTGGAATGGACATTCTTAGTTTTACAAAAAGAGCAGCAATCTCTTGTTTGTTTTTTAACTGAAATGTTTTAGTCTTTAAAGGTGAGAAATATGATTCTGTTTCATGTATCAAGGGGAAAAAAAAAACCAGCAACTGCTGTTGCCTGGAATGTACACTGCAAGTGGAGTGCATCCAGAGAAGGGCCACAAAAATGATCCACAGAATGAAACACTTCTTGTATGAGGACTGCCTGAGAGAGCTGGGGCTGTTCAGCCTGGAGAAAGGATGTGAGGTGATCTTGTAGCAGCCTTTCAATATCTAAAGGGGAGCTACAAGAAAGAAGAGGACAGACTCTTCAGCAAGATCTGTGGTGATGGAACAAGGGGAAATGGCTTCAGGCTCAGGAAGGAAAGATTTAGGTTAGATATAAGGAAAAAGTCTTTTTCAGTGAGGGTGGTGAGGCACTGGAACAGGTTACCTGGTGTTGTGGTTGATACCCCTTTGCTCATGACTTAGGAGGCGAAATTGAATCAGACTCTGGGCAACCTGATCTAGCTGCGATGTCCTTGCTCATTGCAGGGCAGTTGGACAAGATGGCCTCTGAAGTCCCTTCCAACTACAAGGGTTCTGTGTTTCTATGAAGTCTTGAAGTGCTGGAGAAACCAGATGCTGATTTGTATGAACAATATACTGCTCTGTCAAAGGGATTTAGTACTCTTTTAAACTGGTCTTTTCTTCAACTAGTATTTACAGACCTAGCTTCAAGGAGGAATGACCCAGTGGATAACCTTTCTCTGGCTTTGTGAAAGTTTATAGTGGAAATAAATGAATGTGCAAGTGTCGAAAGAAAGAACCTTTTTACTTTACTTTTCTGTGCCTAGGCTCCAGAAGGCTTTTTCTGTTTGTTTTTTAGTAAAATGAATAATTACATATTCCTCAAAATGATTGGTTTTAGTTGAGGTTTTTTTTTTTTTCCCTTCTGAGAGCTGAGAAATTTATGTGGCAGTTGAACTTGTCACAAATCCCAGACTCGGAATCAATATGGTGGTGAATGGTTGTTGCTGAGTGTACTGGGTACCCTTGTAGAAAGTCCCACAGTGACCTCTAATGTTCAAGGATAAAACCTAAGTTGATAAAATAACAAATTATTTTTCGAGGGCACAGTTTTATGTATTAGTTTGTACATTTAGTTTATTAACATCCCACAGGCAGGGTACGTATTTGGTCCATCAGACCTTAGTGCTCATGGAACTGGCTCTGAAGTACAAGTCTCCTTTGTTTTGAAGAAGTAGGCACAAAGCTGCCTTTTTGGGAGAACTGCTTATTTTTATAAAGTACACTGAAAATTGAAAATCCCTCTTAAATACTGAGATAGCTCTTGCTATTCTTCCTTTTGAAATTATTTATTCATGCCATATTAAATATTATTTATTGTTTTGTCCTTTTATACCCAATACGTACCTGCATGGTTTAAAGATTAGTAGCTTAGAAACTTGTGTTGTATATACACTCATTTGATTTTGCATTCATCTAGAATATACTTCTCCATCATGTACTAACCTTATTTGTTATTAATTCAGATGGAAAAATGTATGGAAGAGTTTCTTTTAAAGATATTCATGTTTTGAGTTGAATACTTTTATTCTTCTTTGTCTGCTTATTTGATGTTATATGAAAACTTTATTCGTTCTTGGTTAAAACTAAGAATCAGCTGTTTCATTCCCTGGAGTTAGATTCATGAAAATCACAATTAACTGGAGTAAAGTTTTGTGGTACTTGAAAGAATACAGAGATTTGAGTAGAGAAATGTGCACATGAATTTAAAATCAAAGGTACTGTGACTTGCTGTAAATATAATTTCTAAATTTAGTCTGTTTAGAGGCAACACCATTTGTGCAGTCTGCCTGAGACCAAAACATAGCAGTGTTGCAAAGGGACATAGCTGGTTGCAAAGGACTCTTCAATTTATGAAATTAACTTACTTTGCATGCATTGAATCTTTACACCAAAAGGCAACACAGAACATTCAATTCATAAGCCTTTTGTTGTTCACTTAAGCATGTTTCAGAACTGAAGTAATCTGGTACTTTTCTTTCTGTGTGAATGTGAATGATTTTTAGTTTGTTTGAAGAGACAGAAACATGAATAAAAGCAATTATTTTTCAGATTAGAGCAACTGGTACACTGCCAGTCACCTGTAAGATAGTGCTTAAAGATTTTGCATTACATCTGAAGTTTGGATTGTCTGAAAAGATCTCATTTATAAAAATTACGTATTTGTCTTTCGATTGCATTGTCAATAGAGAAGCAATGATATTGCTGTTCTTTTTCTTGGTTACATAAAACAAAATCCTGAATATCTTGTCAGAACTGAGAGATGGCTGATTACTTCCCATTCTGAACTGTTTGTTACTTAAATTGCTGAGGGAATTTTTATCTACAGTTATATTTTCTTTTGCTTTTGCTTTGCATTTCAGGAGTAAAATGTCTTTGTGGAAATACACAATTATTTGTGAAGGTAAAATTTATGTCTTTGATGTATGAAATTACTTTGTAAAAATAAGCTATTTACTTCCTTCCAAGTTTATGACTTGTGGTCTGAGTCTTTTTGTACGTTGGGTCGATCCTTGTGCTGGAATGTAGTATATAGGTCGCTCTGAAAGTAATGCCTCCTATTTCACAGAGTCACAGAATTGTAGGCTTTGGAAGGGACCGCTAGGGTTCATAAAGTCCAATCCCCTATTAAAGCAGGTTCCCTCTGGTAGGCTGACAGGAAGGCATTCTGGTGGGTTTTGACTATCTCCAGACAAGGAGACTCTACAACTCTCCTGGGCAGCTTGTGCCAGTGCTCTGTCACCCTCACAGTAAAGAAGTTCTTTCTTGTGTTCAGATGGAACTTCATGTGTCCCAGTTCTTGCCTGTTGGCCCTTGTCCTGTTGCTGCGTGCCACTGAGAAAAGCCTGGTCCCATCCATTTTACTCCCACACTTTAGATATTTATGAACAGTAATGAGATCCTTTCTC